ATTCTTTTTCCTTCACCACTGGTAGAATGAAAAGAGACAGAAGATACGAGTGAGAAACTTCAGCGACATCTAGCGACGAAAAGCTCTTAGTTCTCTACGTTGCTAGTTTAGGTACCCATTTTCCTGTGTTTTATTAAGAAAATGCAATGAAAACGCAATTACTAAAAGTAGTTTTAAAACGGCGTTTTGTTATTTTTTCAAATTGTTATTTATTGATGATCATTCCCTTTCACGCAATAACAATAAGTAAAAACGAGAGCGAAGATACTGCAGGCCAAGCTCGTAAACTTCTAGATACATCTAGCGGCAAATCGCGGCGGTTTTGATGATATAGCGAATGAGAATGATAGATGCAGCGCCATCTAGTAGTGTAAAGCAAAATCAATCGGTAGTGTTTCCGTGTTAAGGGGTGCCACTTTTTAATGAGTAAATATCGTTTTTGAATAACCTACTAGATAAAATGCATGTTCTTCTGGAAAACATTTGTTTCGACTAAACATTTCAAAACGGTTTAGTAACTCTAGTATTTACAAAATTTTTATCTTTGTAAATTTTTAAAAATAAAACTTACATTACATGATTTTGATAAGTGCACTTTTTTATTTACTTGTCTTTAAAATGTGAGCTTTATTTTAATGAGTTTTTTTTACGTTAGCGCAGAAAAGTTTAAGACAAAAATCATTTGATTTTATTCAGAGCATGTAACTAATAACGATATCTTTTAACTCGCATAGTAATTTATTTAGGTTTTATAAAACACAAAAAGATCAGATAAATACATTTCATTAAAATGAGGGGAAGGTGTTAAATCATTTTTATTTCATCAAAATCTAAATGTAAAAGAAACTTCATTTCTCCAGAAGTGTGTGTGTGTGTGTGTGTGTGTGAAATCATTAAAAAAGTAAACTTTATGAAAAACTATTGGGAGTCCCAATTGAATTTTTTCCCGATTCAATTTTAGCATAATTATTTCTCTTGTTTCAATTTGAAAACTATAAAAAAGCGGAATAGTTGTTTCTCTTAATAAATACTTACTTTCCATGACTAACCCAATAGTATAATCCTATCGGGTTATTCATGATTAAACGCGATGTTGAATTGTAAAACTTCACTTAGTACTTTTACGACAAACTTTATTTATAAATCTAAACACATAATTAATTACTATTAAAGTTGCTAAGTGAAATGAGTGGCAGCCCTAGATATCATTGCGAACTGCAGTGACCGGTGAGTGTGTTTATAAAAGATGCCGCTTCACTTTTCCGGTCCGTCCGCTTCCGGTTTCTGAGACATGCTGCCGCTACACGTGCTGCCAGCTCTAATTTTTTCCCTTAATTGGGTAATTTTTTTACGGGATAAATTCCATAAAAATTGTATGATATTAAAGAAAGGTAAGCTATCTTTTAAATATCTATCTATCTATTTAATATTTTTGATTACATGGTATTATAATTTTTTTTTTTTTTAAATTGAAGTTGATGTTATTGAAATAACATTAATCACTTTTAAAAATTTATTCGTATAACAATAAGTTAAGAGCGTCGCAAATAAGGTTGGTTAAGTTACGTTAGCCAATGTTCCTGCCAATCGGTTAACAAAAACGGTACCCGGATAATAATTTCTCTGTCTTACTTTTATTTATTAGGATACGGTGAAAACAATTATTAATGATGCACAACATTATTTCAAACATTTTACTTATTTTGTCATAAAAATAATTTAGTATAGCGTACACTTTCAGACAATTTTCATTTGGTTTATTTCGGTATTATTAAAAATTACTTACGATATCAGTTCTTGTAATAATTCACAATGTTAACACTTTGACAGCCAAGCATTTTATTTATTTCCAATCTCTGACAGCCGATCACGTCCCCTGTCCGTGACAGTTTTTTTGTTAGAGACGCTGATCACGTACTGCGTACGTGTGTGAATTTCAATACTGTTTACTTTAAAACAACTGCCTGTGAGCGTGATCCGCGTCATGTCAATGCTTAGATGAATGTTTTGGCTACACACACAAACGCACTTCAAATACTTGCGGTGTGTGGGGTGCGGGGAACAAAGGATCGCCCGAGCCGGGTCGACTCACGCGCGCCAGTTGCCCCAGCGTAGCTAAGCGATCGAGGCGTGTGACAATTTTTGGCGCGAAATGGCTTCGCGACGACGATTTCGTTTGGATTCGGAAAGAGACACTAGAGATATTATTGAAATTTTGCAAAATGATGAGGATTCGGACATTGAGGAGAACACCACGATAATAGAAACTGAAGGTAAGCTATTGATTTACTTGTGTTTTTGTATGATCGTAATCGCTTTTGGTTTTGAATAAGTACCTACATGTTTTGTTTTTCAGAGGCAATAGACGAGTTTAGAGCCGGTCAAGAACAATTAGACGTTAGTGATGAGGACATACCAGACCGGGGTCAAGCACCGATAAGGACAAGGGGAAGGTCAAGGATTAGAAGAACAGGTCGCAGTCGTATTCGTTCGTCAGTGCGTTCGCGTTCAACTCGCAGCCGCGGCAGAGGTACAGTACAAAATGTCAAACAAATTGATGAAGCCAATGGATGGTCATATAAACCAGTTGAAAATCTACCTGAAAATCCTGTCTTTCAGGATCTATGTATAGTTATGCCTCCAATTGATGAACATTCAACGGAATTTGACTGTTTTTCAGTCTTTTTCCCAGACTCTTTTTGGAAACTTCTCAAAGAAGAAACAAATCGCTATGCAAGTCAAATGAAGGCAAAGCAAGCTAGACAGGGTGTGTTAAAGCCTGGAAGCATGTTGTATAATTGGAAACCAGTTACATTGCGTGAAATGAAGAACTTTTTGGCCATCGTAATCCATATGACGCTTGTTGAGAAAGAAAGTTTCGATTCATATTGGTCCACTAGAGAGATTATACAAACTCCATTCCCAAAAAAAATCATGACTAGATCTCGCTTTAGAGCCATATACAGTTGTCTACATCTGAATGACAACTCAAAATATATACCACGAGGCCAGGGAGGATATGACGCTTTTTTTAAACTGTGGCCATATTTTGAGGAGCTTTCGAATTTGTGTCAGATGAACCTTTCTCCCGATGAAGAACTAACTATCGATGAAGGAACATGTGGTTTTAGAGGTAAAGTACATTTTCGGGTGTATAACAAAGATAAGCCCGACAAATACGGCATGAAAATTTATATGCTTTGCGATGCTAAAACCGGCTATATATTGAAGATGGTTCCATACGTTGGCGACTCAAAGACTACACAGAGCATAATTATGGAATTGTGCGAACCATACATTGGAAAATGGCACACCATTTACATGGACCGTTTTTTTACCAGCCCAACTACTTTTGACTTGCTTTGGCAAAAACAAACCCGTGCTGTTGGAACAGTTATGGCCAATCGGCGTGGTTTGCCTAGAACATGGCTTCAACAGTTTTTAGAGGTCAATGAAATGGTCTTCTGTCATCGTGAAAATCTGACCGCTTGTAAGTGGAAGGATAAGCGGGACGTGCTGATGCTCACAACAAAACACGCCGCTACTTGGACGGAGGTAACAGCTAAACGCAAAGGAGTTGGAGTCGTCAAAAAACAGAAGCCTGATTGCATCATCGATTACAATCACAACAAAATTGGCGTGGATCTCAACGATCAGTATGTTTCATACTATTCTTTAAATAGAAAAACAATGAAATGGTGGAAGAAGATGTTTTTTAATCTGGTTGCGAGGGCTTTAGTCAATGCTTACGTAATCTATAACAGAAGTAGAAACAACACGGGTCGTAAATTGCGTTTTTCGCAGTTTTTGATGACTTGTGGTGAAGAACTGGTGCAGCATGCATTCTTAGCTGATGCAGGCCCATCTCGTGGTCCACATCATACGGGTATGACCTCCAGATTAACAGGCAGACACTTCATGGAAAGGATACCGGCGACAGGATCGAAAACGAAAGTAGCAAGAGTTTGCAAAGTCTGCGCTGACACTACCAAGAAGGAAACGGGTAAGCGAGGTCGCAAGGAAACAATTTTTTACTGCCCAGATTGCAACGTGCCCTTGTGTTATGACCCGTGCTTCAAAAAATATCACACCAGGAAATACTACACGTCATAAAATTCGAAAAATTTTGATGTTAGAGTTTTTTTTTTTTTAAACGTGCCTCATTCTAAGTTGATTTTATAATAAAAAAAAACCAATTACATATGTTTTTATTATTTTATATAATAATATAAAATACCTTCAATACAATGATTAAAAATCATGGCCGCAACTGTTATAGTTTTTTTTCTATGAAACTAACAAAATGGTCAAAAAGTGCCGGCGCGCCCAGAATGGTACGCTCATTATGTATGCGGCTAATTAGCATAAAATAAGCGCCACGTACGTTGGACGTGATCCGCTGTCAAAGTGTTAAAACATAAATTTGATCGAACACGTAATGCACAATCCATTCAATTGCAGATTTCATTTCTAAAACAATTTTGGGAATTTGGTGAAAAAGTTGCAACACTCGAATATTCAGTAGGAAGAACTGAAGAACGAATGATCGCGGCTTCTTTGATATGAGCAGTGTTGCCAGCTTAGTGGATTTTCCACTAAAACTGGTGGTTTTAATCCTTCATTTAGTGGCGAAATAATGGTTTTAGTGGCTGGTGGATTTTTCTAGTGGCTTATAAAAATTTAGTTTCCATTACTTTAACTGCGATCACTCATCCGCTAAGTTACTTTCATATTTCAAGTCAAGAAGTCCATAATCTATATTATAGATATTAAATCTATAATATAGATTATGGACTTCTTTGATCTCGTGTTTTAAATTTTAAATGGTATTTACGTTCATGTACAGGCAACACTTATCCACTAAAAAGACGATGTTTCTTTGTAGGCGGGGATTCCCCGTACATTATTTTTCAGTGAACTCATTCACTGAAATGCTTCGTGCAGCTCAGTAAGTTGTCATGTTTTTTGTGTTATCATCACGAATTTATTCATACGCAACTATGCCGAAACCACAATATACGCAACAATTTCGGGATTCTTGGCTTCAAGACCCACATTTAAAAGATTGGCTACAAGCTATTGAAAGTACCACGGGTCGAGTAGCAAAATGTAAATTTTGTGGTACAACTTTAAGGAGTCACTACGGAGACTTAAAGACTCATGGGATGTCAAAGAAGCATCTACAAAATAAGAAGGTAAACAACCGCTTTTATTGATTACTCATTCATATGTCGGTTTTCACCTGACTACGAAAGAAGGGTTTTACATTTAAAAAAGAATAAAACTAACCTAATTATTAATTACTAATTTAATGCTTTGGATTTTGTTTCGTGTATTCAGGTTTTACTGTTTATGGTTTTATTTTGATTTCTTTTTAACAAATAAATTGTTTCAGCTTATAATTACTCAGCCCAAAATCCCATTCAAGACAGAGCCCATTGAAAGTAAAAAAAAGGACGAAGCCAGACTCGCACTATTCACCGCCATGCATACTAGCATACGTGTCATAGACCATTTAGGAGAGGTTATTAATCACAGTCATGAAAAAGATATTAAAAAAGTTCAACTGCACCGAACTAAATGCGCCTCGATTATAAAAAATGTGTTAGCATTACATTTCACTGAGGTCCTCAAACAAGATCTTAAAGATCAACCATTTAGCTTATTAATTGATGAATCCACAGATATTGCTGTGCAGAAATACTTAGGTTTAATTGTAATTTATTTTAGTGAATTATACCAAAAATTCGTTTCCACGTATCTAGACCTTGCTGAACTGCATGAGTTTAATGCTGAAGGTATTGTTTCTGCTATAAAGAAGACGCTAAAACGATTCGATCTCCGATTGGAAAATTTAATGGGACTTGGTACAGATAACGCTTCTGTGACGGTTGGAGTAAATAATGGAGTCTATATCAAATTGAAGGAAGAGATACCACATCTGATTTTGGTGCGTTGCTTGTGTCATTCCTTGCAATTGGCTGTTTCTGCTGCAGCAAAAGAATTTTTGCCGAGAAATTTGGAATTTATAATTAGAGAGACATATGATTGGTTTAGCCGCTCGACATCCAGACAGTTGCTGTATAAAGAATTATACAAAACCATTAACGACGGTCAGAAACCGTTAAAAATTGTTCAAGCATGCCAAACGAGGTGGTTGTCAATTGAATCTGCTGTATCAAGAGTATACACGCAATGGCTCGAGTTAAAAACTCATTTTGCAATAGCTAAGGTGCACGAAAGATGTCACACGGCCGAGTTATTGCACTCTTTATATGCGAATGAGATGAACTACGCATATATTTCTTTTTTATATCCAATATTAATTGAGATAAACAGAGTTAATAAAATGTTCGAGTCAAAAGATACGGACCATATCAAATTGTATGAAGAGTTAACTAACCTGATAGATATGCTTGTCTGCAAGGTAACATTACCTACAAATAAAGTTAATATTTTTAATCAAAATATTCGTGGTTTTTTGGATCAAAAATGTTATCTTGGATTCAGATTTGAAAAACAAATAATTGAAATGAGAGAAAAAGGGTTACCAAGGGAAGACGAAGAAATGATGCGGCATCGGTGCATAACATTTATAGTCAGTCTAATTGAAGAAATAAAGAATAGGTTACCAGAAAATTTGACACTAATGAAAAAAATTTCCCGAATAAGTGTTGAACAAGCACTTAATCACAATAAAGAAGCACTAATTGACATAATGGCTCAGTTCAATAAAAGTGCAGAACATATAGCGAGAGTCGATGATCAGTGGCATCAAATTCATTTATTAAAATGGAATGAAACTAGAAACACAAGAAAGTTTTGGATGGAAGTATTGCAATTCAAAGACACTCAAGGAGAACCGAGGTTTAAGGAATTGGCGACTTTTGCGATTACTCTCCTAATACTACCTCATTCTAATGCCGATGTTGAGAGACTATTTAGCAGCATGAATGTAATAAAGAACAAGGAGAGAAATAGAATGAAGTTAAATCTTTTATCTGCTATTTTGAGAATACGTTGTTGTTTGAGGTTGGAAGAAAAATGCTGCAATGATTATAAAATTCCAGAAGCCGTTGTCAAACAAATCGGTACCAAAGAATCATATCAATCTGAAATGGAAGATTATGGTGCAAGCAAAAATGATTCGTCTGAAGAAGACGAATTAATTTAGAATAGTTATTATTGAATAAATTGTGTTGGTTTACTATATTTTGTTTACTGATTGTTAATTTTTGTGGCGTAATAATAAAGGAAACTAATATTATAGACACTTATTATTTTCTTTCATAAAACAAATTTCTCTTAGCGAAAAATTTAGCGAGTATGAATGTAGTGACATATTTGTTAGTGGTTTTCTGGTGGTTTTTAAAGTAGAATCTAGTGGAGAGCTAATTCAACTGTTGGCAACACTGGATATGAGCGAGGCATGAGGCCGACCAGTGGCAAAAAACTTTCCATCTCGGTTTGCGAATGCGTATTTTAAAGTTTATTTCGTTAAATTAGTTATCATAGTTTTTAGTTGAGCGTGTGAGGTTTATTTATTTAGTGTTTATTTTAAGTTTTATTAGACAATAAGTGCATCTCATCATGCCTAATGCGTATGTGTACAGTGCTCGTGAGTATGGGAACATGGTTATGTGTTTAGGAGAAGCACGTGGCAATGCTTCTCTAGCTTTGAGAATTTACCGGGAAAGATTTCCTAATGTGCATCATCCAGGAGACTCTCGAACCATTACTGCTGCGTTTCAACGACTGTTGGAGAATCAACCGATCGTTCCGGTGGCGGTCGGCGGTGGGCGACCAATAGACATTGCAGCCGAGGAGCGTATTCTCGATGTGATCCAACGCAACCCCCGTTTGGGCACGAGGACTGCTGCGAAGTTACTGCAGCGGCCAAATGGGCCCTCAGTTTCGCATTGGACGGTGTACAAAGTTTTGCGAAGAAACAGAATGCGGCCTTACAAAATTCATAAAGTGCAATCTTTGATACCCGAAGACCTACCCCGTCGTCACACTTTCTGCCGTTGGTTGTTGGATCAACAACAGCGTCTTCCAGGATTTATTCAGCATGTTATCTGGACAGATGAATCTACATTCACAAGGAACGGCATGTGGAATAGACGAAATTCACATTTATGGTCTGAAACCAATCCACGTGCCACTCAAGAGACTGGCCACCAAACCCGATGGTCGGTCAACGTTTGGGCTGGCGTCTTCAACAATGTTATCTTTGGGCCGGTGTTTCTACCACAACGACTTGACGGAGCTGGGTATCTTAGGTTCATTAATGAGAGCCTTGATGAAATTCTTGAAGGCATATCATTAGCTGAGCTAAGAAGGGCTTGGTTTCAACACGATGGCGCACCGCCGCATGTGGTACGGCCGGTACGTGAGCGTCTCACTGAACTATTTGGTGACCGTTGGATCGGGCGATTAGGACCGCAAGCCTGGCCACCACGATCTCCTGATTTGACACCTTTGGACTTTTTTTTGTGGGGGTGTGTTAAAGAAAAAGTGTTCAATAGAGTTTGTGACAGTGCTGAGGAAATGCGGGCAAGAATTGTGAGTGCATTCGAGACAATAAGAACGAGTTGTATCGAGGACTCAACTCTCATGCCTCGACTTCACGAAGAGACGCGGCGACGGGCTCGAATTTGTGTTGAGATGAATGGGGCACAATTCGAGCCACACTTAGTTAGACCGCGGAGAACATGAACAGGTAAGTACGTTTTTGCATTACAATAAAAATCATGATGTTAAGTTTAACTGGTTAAATTAATCGTTACTTATAATAAAATTAAAGGTTATTGTAATAAATTACTTTACGTAGTACTTACGATCGTCTCTGTGTGTGTTTGTGTGAGCTCGTTTATGCATGTGTGCAACTATCAAAAGCGCTCGCGCCGCGCGGTCGTTCACCCGTGTATTTGTACGTTTTACATTGCGTGCTTAGAAAATACGATTTCGTTAAATACTAATTATTCAAGTAAACAAATATTTTTGTAGGACTCCATTAATATGGTATAATAACCATGTTAAAGATTCGGAAGCGTTTTCCTAACACCTTGTATATTATTTTAAAAAAAATGCGAGTGATGAAAACCGCCTGGTTACTAAGCTAATTCATACTTCGTGTAATATTGGATCCTGTGCGCGTAGCTTGTCGAACGCGGTTTGTTTGAAGCTAAATGCATATAATACTACTCTTTGGCTAAATGTCAGTTTTCTCCGGTGCGCCGATGCGATATCTCACGTTCGATTTGAGGAAAGTGACGTTTGGTGTAGGGATGTGAGATTAATAGAAAATAATCGATTTAATAAAAATCGATAATAAATTTTAATGAAAATAAATAATTGATTTTTGCGAAAAAATCGATTTTTTTCTATTATTTTAAATCCTGCATGCTTTTCATATTCCAATAATAAACCTAAGAGATTCATATAACCAATTGATCAGATTTAAAAAAAATAATATGAATAAAAAAATGAACAATTCAAATAAAAAATCAAAGCAAATGTTCTTTAAAACTTTCAAGGTAAGGAATCAGTATCTTTAAACGTTTTATTATAATAAAAATTAAATGAGCACTCCAACAAAATAACCTTATTGTCGCAAAAAATAAAATATAATAATCAATAAAAAAAAATTGTCACGAATGTTCAGTCCTATTTTACATGTGACTTGTATTTAAATAAAATACTTACTTAAAATGACAATAAAAAAAACTGAACGACGACGTTATGATCTCAAAAATAAAAATATAAAACAATTCTTTCGTTTATCTTTAAGTTTAAACAATCAAAAGACGAAAAATAATTATTGGCACTAATTTTCAGTCTCGTTTTATGTAAGAGTAGTATTAAAATAAAATAAAACGATAAGTGAAAAAGCTCAATGACAATTAAATGTATCATTTTTTAGCTTCTTGTGACAATCCGTTTACAAGAAGCTAAAAAATGATACATTCGATAATCAACGATGTTGAAAGCAAAAAAATTGATGTCTTAATATCGATGTTGCTATACGAAAAATAACGTAACAACGAAATCAATCATCATTGTTAACTAACTGCCTCACACAAGACCAATGCATTATTTAATATTTGATAATGTTTATATCAATTGAAATTATGATGCTTTTGATTAAAACTGAATTGTAAAATATGTATTTTATGATATATATGTTATATACAGCGTGTTTGGTAATACCTGTATAATCCCGAAACATGGCCATACAACCTAGCACAAAGAACACAATTGATAGGTCAAAAAACAATTTCATGTAAATTGATATTTTCATACAAATATTTGAACAATTTGTTTTCAATTACTATGCTACAACCCTGTAAGCTTACACGTGCCGTCCCGGCGCACTCGCTCTTTCTCTCTCTCTCTCTCTCTCATTACCTCTCACTCTCTCGTTTCCTTGAATACATTTTGATGTTGCCGACGCGCGCACTCGACTACGTATGAGTTTACTTGTAATTAAAACAATTTAAGATTAAATAGGTACATACCTATAGCGTTCTAATCACTCTTTCAGCTTTCACTTGTCAACATTACCTACACTTCACCTCCACTTTATCAGTCCAGGGTCTCGATATGCCGGCCACCGCATAAAACACACATCTCCATTCGACTCGACACAGACCGTGTCGTGTTACTCTCGACGTAAAGTCATATCCTCTGTCTCGATGGAATAGGTGATCGGCCGGCCTGCCTGTGGCACACTATGGAATGAACCAGTTGTATGTAACCAATTCACAAATGCCGCGAATCACCGGTAGGAAGGAAGACGTCGATGGTTTTCAGGTCTTCCTGACACGTGGCGCTCGTCATAACGCCGCCGAGCCGCAGCAAGATTACCGTCACAAGCACCGCCACACATTATCATCTCGTAATATTAGGCATTTGAGTACGAATTCATTGTCAGTGCAATGAATTCGTACTCAACACAAACATAATACACAGGTAAACAGAACGAGAATGAAAAACAAACCAAAAGTCCCGAAAGAACGAAAACGTAAGTTGACCTTCTAAATTCTGAAAACTCACAAGTACGCCGATGAAAGTTACGGACGCGACTGACGCGATGACCAAAACTACATAGGTTATTATTATTGCAACTCGAACACCAATGTACCTAAATCAAAAGTGTACCGATTTTGGGGTTCCGCGTCAAGAACTATTATTTATTATTAGACCTTTCCATTACAACTAACCTTTATTTAATTATCACTTAAACTAAGAATAAGAGAGATACTTAGATTATTAATATCATTGTATAAGTCCGTATTTTATTGTTTCGTGAAAATAACACGGCTTTATGAAAAAAATAACAAAACTTCAAAGCAAATAATCTACAGAACCTTACTCACACATCAGAAACCCGAGTTTAATATACATCGTCGTCGATTTTATGTCTCTCTCGCTCCTTCTTGCATAGACTAATGTGAGCAATGGTGCAGATATTGAACTTCAATCAAAGTATTTGCAATTTCTTTTTTATTTTGACTGTATTATTACAGAAGTTTTCATATTAATAGTTTTTGAAACACCGTTAATCACAAGATTAGTGTTTTTTTATAGTTAAAAGTCATTTACTACTAACTTTTTCTTTGTTTGGAAATAATAAATTCCTCTCAGATGCATATTTATTCTAGGCATTTATCTTTAGATTTATTTAACTTCTGTTATTTTTTAAACTAGTTCGGCACATGGAGTCGATGACCAAATACAACACAACAGCTGTTTTTAGGGTTGTCAGCGTACAGTTTTACTTCGAAGAAAAAAAGCTGAATATCTAGGTCATGTGCTGGGTTTCAGTCTTAGTGATCATTTTTCTGGGTTCTATTCATCATACCGTATGTGCCATATTCGGGATTATACAGGTATTACCAAACACGCTGTATACATATAATAAAATACATTTTTTACACACATGTTTACAAAAGCTGACTCTACTCTTTATTAACAAAGAAATAGATTCTTCTTTATCAAAATTACATTTCCTTCAGTCACTTGATAAAAAATATTGGAATATCTAATAATTTGGTTTTTCTTAATAAATTTCACTGTATTTTATTTCTTTGTGAATTATTGCAAAAAATCATAAATGTTAAGTTTTCGATAAATATCGAACATCGATGTTGGGCTTGCGATGATGATATCGATAAACAACATCGATGTTTTTCTAATGTCGATCATATATACCTACATACTTACAGATGGCGCCGTTTTTTATATAATCAACTTGTAAGTAATAATGCTTCAAGTTTTTCATTTGGCGCATAGATGGTGCTATTTATGAAAATCGATTTAACCGCGCAATTTATTTAATCGATTTGTTAAAAATCGATTGATATGACTTAGACAATCGATTATAAAAAATTGATTATCGGGAATTAATAATCGATAAAAATAAAAATCGATTATTTTTTAACATCGCTCATTTGGTGTAAACAAAACATTCTTCGATCTTGTCATTCTGTGCGTGTTTTTAAAGAAAGACGTTCAGAAGGCGTGGTCACAATGGGAAAATGTCTTATTGCCACTTTAAAAAGAGTTCGATGTGATTGGGAATAACGCATTATTTTGAAATTAAGAGCAAATTATAATAATAAGAAACTACAACAAAGTTCATAGCAAAAAATTAAGGTTATAAAATAATTTCACACTTATTGTTAATTTAATAACACATGTTAGATCTTAAAATTTGGACAACTTATATACATTTACTATTAGCATATAATTGGATATTAGATTTTGATTTTTTGGTTTCTTCGTTTTCAATACATATCGATGTTCTTGTGCGTCAACATATCGATATTCTTTTGCGTCAACATTTCGAATCGTATCGATTTCCTATATATCGTTGCATCCTTAGTTAAAAGGTTTTTTTAATTTATTTTCTCTGGTTCTTTCCTTCTTTCTTTGAGATTTTAAGTTTCATACTGCAGGCTTGCCATCGGAGAGTAAGTTTTTCTTTATTTTTTAAAATGGATATTATTATTAATTAGAAAATTGACAAGTCTCTACACCTAGTAATTTAGCACAGCAATGATTAAACATAAACGTATTAGTCCATCCATTGCATACCATGTGGGTTTGCGTACCACGTGTGAGAACATCCTGTATTATTGATTGTAAAAGAAAAGAGTCCTATTGGAGTAACTGATAGGGATTCGATCAGATAATAATAAATACTAATCTTTATCTTAGTAAAAATACATATTAAATGTGTTTGGATTGCTTAAGATAAGATTAGGGATTTATTTGGTTAGGTCGTGTTTGTATCACTGACCGATACGATGATTGATAAGACGTTATTTTGAGTCTTCTTACAAAGTTATTTTTTTTATCGGTGGTATAGTGTACACTACAATAGAAATTTTATAATAGGTGTTCTTACTTAAATGATGATATTAACACGAGCCGAAAAGTGTTACTATGATATAACACATGATATTTAATGATAGGTCTGATCATGAAAAATTTTTCACATGAACTTGGTGTAGAAAAGTAACAATCTATTGAATACGTACCAATTTTTTCAGGGAGCATAGTTAATCGCACATGGTTGCTGAAGCAAATTGGAGATTTTGTAAAGAACAATACTTTTAACAATATGAACACTTGGCATCATGATATGGAAAACCATGGGAATTACCATTATTTGTTGTCTGTGTTTCATAATCTAGACATATTCCAAGAAATTTGCAAGAATTCTTGAAGACTTAATTCTGGGCAATGTTCTTTTGCCACTATAATGCATAATATTTAGATGTGCATACTAGTCCTTGCTCAATGCCTTTCTGGATGATGTGACACTAAACCATTGGTGCACTACTTGGTATGAATATGACAGCACCATATATTAACTGTCAATAGTGATGTTAAATGACCGAAAAACAGAACCTCTGTTGACCTATATGATCACCTGATTTAACCCAATTGGTTTATGGCTGCCCCTATGAAACAGTGAATCAAATGCCTCTTAAATCTCAGGTAATTAAGGAATTTGAATAACTCTTCTTTTTCTATGCCATCACTTTTATCAATAGTATTAAAAGATAATAATCTCATTATTATTATTCCACTCTGTGTATAACTTTTTACATGCAATAATTTTATGTTTTAATCAAACCATTTTTTAACATCCTGTATAGATAATAACTATTATCAATGAATACCATAAAATGTCCAACTTCAGTATGATTATGATGATAACAAACACGAGCCAAATAATGTGTTATATTGATAACCACATGATATTTAATGATAGGTCTGATTTGTTAAAATTTCATTCATAAAACTATATTTAATTAATACTGCGATGGTTACATAATGATACTTATTGGTTTCAGATTTTCTACTAAGCAATGACTAGCATTTTTTAGGCATTGTTGGTGACAATTTCCCAAAGATTTCTTCAGGTAAACCTTCAACACATGAACGGATGATTAGCAATCAGAACTTCATAATTTAAATTTCATAACAATATCATATTAAACTCAACAAAGAGCCAGCTTGTTTTTTGTGTTCTAATTTTTTTAATAAATTGGTAGATCTAACAAGTACAAACAATTCTTTTATTTTACCTATGTCAGTATGGACATATCACCCTTTTATCCAAAATATATTTGGCTAATTATTCAAGCCAGCATAGGGTAACAAGCATAAAACACTAGAAGCATTGCGGTGCCATATTTGTTCCATACACAAGTTTAAGGGTGCTTGTGCACTACACTGAATTTTCTGGTCTGAAATGACATGAAAAACCCAGAAGAGTAACTTGTGCACTTGTCCGTTTTTTTACTAATTGGAGCGACGCAGTTTAGGGTAGCTCTCTTTGAAGCTACACGTTACTTACGCTAGATACGATGAAATGTTTGGAACGTCGGTAATTGTTTGCTTTGTTACTCTACGTGCGAAGATGTAGAAGACAGAAAAAATATTCGGTTCATCCCCTTATAAGTGAAAGGTACCTAAATAATGACCTGACAGGGTTATTTTACATAAACCATAATAAATTGAGGCAAGACGAAAGCATTTTATTTTTTACTTCTATCGGATGACTATTATCAGATGTAATTATTATAAGTGCTTTGACATTAACGTTATAGACTTGTCTTGCAAAAAAATATTATTGACGTTTTAGTGCTCACAAATAAAAACTTTTTTATTTATTATATTTTTATTTGTAATACTCTTTTTTACAGTGAAATATATCTACATACTTTTTATAATATTCGTAATGGTTTGTGAGTAAAATTGGAAATCATTATCTGTAAATCCATGCGCAATTCGCCATTTTCTATCTCTATCTATATTATTGCATCCGACAATGAGATAGAAAGGGAAATAGGGACAGTCTGTTGACTTTACGCTCAGCCTTAATTAGTCAAGAATTCATTTCAAAATGGTGCTGCTATTCAATTGACGACAGCCACAGCGTTGTGCTTGTACCTATACTTTTTCGTAATGTAAAAAAACAAAATTTTATATATGAAATATTTATTCAATTATGTGATACAAATGGGTCATTAAAATAGTTCTTAAATATATACAATACTTAACTCTATTATTCTAAACTAAATTATCAGCCTTTCCATTTTTATATTTCTAATAGGTATGCAACATAATTATAATAACGAAAAATATTTTATAATGCAAATCATTATTAGGACAATAGTTTAAGAAAAAGGATCGAGATATTACATAATTATCTTTTCATTTTATAAAACAAAAAAAAAACAAGATCTAACTAATTAAGATATGTGAAGTACTTTGACGTGTTATTATGTTAATTCAAATGTATTGAATTTTTGTATTAAGTGCGAGGGTTTCTTGGGTTAGGCTCTGTGACATTCTGTAAGCGGACAGTAATATCTTGCAATGCCATATTGGGTAGAATAAAGTTATCGATATTGGTGACTGTGCGCGAGGGTCGGTCGAATGGGAAGCCCATAGAGCGCTTGTCCGGGTACAGTCGATCGCGCAGGCCGCAGAAACTGGACGCTTCTTTGCATGTCATTTCTGGGCTGTCTGGTTGGTCGAGCTAGAGATTTAAAATAAATCGAATGATATAGATGGGTTCATTTTGCGTCTTTACAGCAAAATTTTACTTTTTACTGGAAAAGGTACAGCAACAAACAGTTAAATGAAATGAAAATATCATTATTCAAGTAAGCTTGTTACAAGCACTTTTGAATCGTCCAAAATCTTTCTTTCCCCTACCCAGTGCCGGTTTTAGCACTACTGGCGCCCTGGGCGAAATCAGTTACTTGTCTTTTTTTCGCCCACCCGGCCTACTTACTTGTAATCTTCCCTAAATTTAGGTAGATTGTTAAGTTGGCAGCATTAGAATGGAAAGTAGTGTTTAATCGGTTTAATTTTTCGGAAATCCCCGACTTTCCGACCATACAGAAACGGCGCCGCGGCCTGCGGCGCCCTTTTTCGTCCGGCGCCCCTGGGCGGTCGCCCGACCGCGCCCTACCCTAACGCCGCTACTGCCCCTACCACTTGTTCATGACGTCTTTTAACTGACAAGATGAACAAGCGAAAGAAACTTATGAGCTCTTTATCATAAGTAATGACAGTACATAAATCAAGTCATTACCAAAATAATATGTATTATCACAATAATAAATATAACTTTCAAAGTCTGTAGGTCGTAGGTTGTACATATAATTATTCGTTATAGAATAAAGCGAAGGCTATTAATTCCATGCATTGCGGTCCTTAAAATAATAATCAACTTTATAAAAGCCTTTACTCATAAGTATGTTATGAATTTTAAATTTATTTATGGGTGGGTCAATTACATTTTTTGAAACTTTATTGAACATAACAGAAATGATCCTCTGGTTTTCTGAAGTCTGAAGCTTGGAACGGGAAGTTTATTGTTATTTCTTGTTTTAAGATTATGAACACTACTTTTTTTTGTGAAGGAATCATAATGTTTTCTTGCGTACATAATATTTTCATAGATGTATTGAGAGGCAACAGTCAAAATATCAATATCAAAATAGTATAAAAGCTTATACAAAGGAAGATTGAAGTCACGTCTCAGACCAAAAAAAAAGTTTGGCCGAGTGTCAAGTTTTATTGTGGAAGTTACGAATTGCATTGAATAACCCATAGGATTTTGCCGTTTACGCGTAAACTGTTGGAAAAACATCTACTTAACCGCGGTTAAGTTATTGTATTGCAACAGTGGCAATTTGAAGGCAAACATGGTTTCGATGAGATCAGGTGACGTCGATGCCTTTCAAACGAAGCCACTAATTACGGATGAATTTGCGTAACATTAATCATAAAATTGCTATTCTTAAATTGATAATAAGTTTCCAGCCTGTGTACATATGAAATCATAGAATGTTAGGAGATAGCAAACTATGTTTATTTATTTATCTATGACAAGATCTACATTGAATCTTGTTAAAGAATAAAAATAAATGCCTTACCTTATCCAATTCGTAGTTAGAGAGCATCACGAAGAGTACGAATGGCATGCCAGGCTCGGTGCCCTTGGGGACGAGCATGTGTTGCGGCCACCCACAACCGCAGAAGTTGAACGCGGCGAGGTCCTGGAGGCGCGGGTTATCGCCCTGGATTGACAGATCGCGGAACGTCTGCTCGAATGGAATCGTGAACGTGGACTCGGATGACTGACGAGTTATTGTGTTCTGACCGGCGTTCACTGGCACAAGGGAAATAAAAATTAAAAAAAAAAGAATTTAACGGAAATCAGTATAATAGCAAAGTTACTCAATGAACGGTAGTTTAAATCAGAACCGCACAAGAAAAAGCGATTTTCGTATGACAATATTCATATCAGAATTAAAAAGTGGTAAGTGGTAGTTTTTCTGTAAATAATGAATACCTATTTATGATAAGATTCAGGAAAATATAACGCGTTTATACTTAATTAACGTACTTTCATTGTCTCAGATACTCCAATTTAAACTGTTTATCTTAGAATTTTAGTTGTCTTATATTTATTAGGTACCTAGGTAATTCGCAGAGGGACCCGCCCTGCAAGAAATGGCCTAAATGGGGGCGAACGGCGCGGTAAGTGGTATTCGGGCTATGCTCGTGTGTATGCCCCTCCCATTTGACTAACCCCAAGTCTGGGAGTAGGGCCGCAGGGGAGAGTTACACATGATCCGCCCACTTCACGCTAGGTACCTAGGTAATTAGTCATGTGATAAACAAACATACATGGAGTCACAAATCTGTCCATCTCGATAAACATCTTGCGCTGATCTGACAACGCCCAAGGTAGGTTTCTCTCGTCATTCTTGGGGCATATGAAGATTCTGACAGTGGTGCGTCGAGCGTTTCCAGTGTTGTTCACATTGATTCTGTAAAAAAAGTAAAATATTACATTGTATACCTATAATACTGAGGTAACAGTGTGCCAACAGCTTATTTTTGTTTTGAGCAGTAATCGGATCCGTAAACGTTTGTTGATATTGTCGTGTTCGAACCCCTGCTTGTGATGCGAAAGAGAAGACATACCCGGAGCGATCTTTTAATAAAACTCTGAAAAACTTACACATAACGGAAAGGCCTGTGATTGAGATGAGTGAAGCGGGCATAGACCGGCCCTCTGTTAGAGAAGTCGAGCCCCCGAGACAGATCCACATCACTCGACATCCAGAAGGTGTTCAGTTCATTAGGCTGCCCACCTTGTGTCTCTATAGTAGCCGATGTCACTTGCACGCCTGGGTTGGAAAGCTGCAAAGAAAAACATATGTATCGTATTTGCCAATTTAATGTAATAATACCTCTAGTTATAATCGGTAAGTATTCGTAAATCTTCCCTAATTTGTTACTAACTAAGGTGCTGACAATATTTTAGTACTATCTGTAACTGTGAAGCTATGAGAATAATAATAAAAGCTAAGTCTTGAACGTCTCTTAGTTTCAAGTGTAGCGATGGACTTCCACAAGGTCACACCTGTTTCTATTAAATGTGACCTATCTTCAATCTTAGTCTCTGATCTGTTGACTATCATCAACTTACTTCAGATTCGGAATAAGGTCGGACTGAAGCAGACTCCTTATGCTTTTGGAAGAGGTCATCGATCCATGCATGCCACCGGTAGAAGAAAGGATCGCGCATAGTCGTCGCCTCATCTGCTATAACACCGAAGTTTTCCTGGGAAAATAAAGAAAAATAATAATTAAATATACCTACAAAGATGCTTACAAATAATATTCCTTCCTTGCTGCTGTCACAGTTCTTTTAAAACGTAATTTGAAAAAGTAAACTCACTGAGCTAAAAGATGACCGATTTAACCTGAGTAGCAAATTGCCTGTAAATAAATATCAGGTGTATTAATACGTACTAGGTAACGATGGTCGGGGTCGTGCATGTAGGCGGAGAAGCTGTGTCCATTGTTGTGCACACTGCCATACAATTCGCTGTTTGGTGAAAGGATGCTGGCTTCTACCATGTTGCCCAGTATGTCGATATTCAGTGGCATAGTGCTGCCGTTGGGCTATTAAACATCAAATTAACTATGTACATTGAGTTAAATCACTTACGTTTTCTAGATATTAGTGATTAGTATTAGGGTGTCTGGGTTTTTAATTAAATTACTGTTTGAAAGAACTCACCAGTCTACATACTCCAGTTGCGATAGCTTCTTCGATATTTTTTCTCCACCTTTCCATGTCAGCGATAGTTACATTCAAACCGTCGACCGGACGATTCAAGTCTTGCCATCTCATATTGGCCTGCCGTGGAGGCCAGCCGCGCGACGACGTTAAACTATCAAGCTTCGGGAAATAAGCTTCTGGAATCGGTTCCCTCCAGTTGCTGAACTTTTTCACTCTCTTCAGAGAGTTACAGAGCCGCTCTACATTGTAACTATAATAATGATAATTCTGATTTAGTTGATTTGTCAGGCTTGATGTATTTTCTTCAATTGTTATTGTTTATTTAAACTTACCGAGCAATAATTTGCTGATGCATATAGAAGAAGAGTTCCCCACGACGATCTTTTGCAACGATGGACCTATCAGCAGCCGCGAACGGGTAAACTAGATGCCAGTGCCAGTGGTGTAGATTGACGCCGATATCTTCCCGCCAGTATGCCATACGATGCTCTATTTCCAAATCGGTGGCAGTGTAATCGCGAGGAATGATAATCGGAGTGCGCTAAAATATGGATACAAATTCTAAATGAAGTATAGGTATTTATTACTATGCATAGGTATGACGCTTCCATTTATAAGTAATTTACAGTGAATAGAATCGTTGTTAATTTTGTTAAAGAGATATTATTATGATTTATTATATATAAGAGTCGTCTGAACGTGATACTAAACTATTTTATTTAATTTTTGTTCATAATGTACTTAAAAAATGTTGTAATATGCTATTCGTGTGTTTCGTAATAATACAATCGGTATAAAGTAAGTATACAAGTTGTGATCCTATAGTCTACTGCGTGCTATTACATTTAGCTACATAATCAAACCAGTCAGTAACTATACTCAGTCGGTTTGGTGTGAACGAGTGGTTCGCACGCCAGGTTCAAAGGTATCGCCACCTCTGAGTTCGGGTTTGAATCTCAGATGGGTAAATGTAGATAATTTAATTTTTTATAATGCCTCGGATCTGGGTGAAATGATACCTCCTCTGAAACAAAGAAGCTTCGTTGTTTTAGATACAGCAGATACCTTATAATGCGTTGGACTTTAGTCTAATATGTATTTAGAAAAAATTGCATATAAGTATAATTATTTGCAATAAATTGCGTGACGAATGAATTTTGAACAAAGTTTACCGTTAGCTTTTAAAATAGAAAAATTATAGTTAAAGTGAAATATTGCTACATGTTTAATAGATATCCACCCTCGATCCCTGAAACGAACGTACCGTAAAAATTTGGACCTAGTAAAAAAAATAATATTGATCAATCGCGCTCAACCCTAAAGGTATAATAGACCAATTATTGTCTACGACACGCCTCTTATGGTCTTCGTGATTTTTAAAAAGTGATATAAATAAAATAAATTCTTCCATTCTATAACCTAAGATTCTTCCTTTTTTAGTCTGGCAACTATGATTTAATGTCATTGTGCAATGTCAAAACGGTTCGTTTTACGTAACGAATAAAAGTGTAAATGATAAGATACTGATTAAAGAAAAATATATGTCTACAAAACAATAAAATATCTATCTATATTTAAAATTAAAATTCAAGCATTGATTAAAGTAGTTTTAAAACTACCTAATAAAAATAATATTTAGATATTGTAGTTTTTTTTGACATCACTGAGCGTAAAATGAATCGCAAAAATCTTGCAATAGTCACGTAGACCATTCTGCGGATTCTGTGTGCGCGTGTTATTGTTTTATTTTTTGATTGAGTAACCTATTATTTTATATAAAGAGATGAAGCCATAAAATTACAATACGAAATGGAAGATATAGTTCTTAATTCTAGTGTAGTAGTGGTTCGTGCGAAACCTGAAGGACAGAGGAAGACGTTCAAACCAAATATTCGCTCACTAAATAAAATTCCTGATGATTTACTGAATGACCCTTTGCTAAATAGAGCCTGTGATGCTCTGCCACAAAATTATAATTTTGAAATCCACAAGACAATTTGGAGGATACGATCTATTAATGCTAAAAGGGTCGCTCTACAAATGCCAGAAGGTAATCGCTTATTCTGTATGTTACGACTGAATATCAAACCATTAATATTTGACTTTAATTAAATAACACATAGCTCTGGTTTATTTCAGGTTTAACAATGTTTGCGACAACAATATGTGACATAATCGAGACTTTCACTGAAGCAGACACTGTGATTATGGGTGATGTCACTTATGGAGCATGCTGTATTGATGACTTCACAGCCGCGGCACTGGGAGTGGATTTATTAGTACATTATGGTCACTCCTGTCTAATACCCATAGACCAAACAACTGATGTAAAAATTCTTTATATATTTGTAGACATAAAAATTGACCCATCACATTTTGTAGAAACTATCAAAGTTAACTTTCCTAAGGGCACTCATTTAGCATTAGTAAGTACTATACAATTTGTTACAACTCTACATTCGGTAGCAAAACATCTGCGAGGTGAAGAATACTCTGTGACAGTTCCTCAATGTAAGCCTCTATCTCCTGGGGAGATACTTGGTTGTACTGCACCCAAGTTAACTGCAGATGTAATAGTATACCTTGGTGATGGTAGATTTCATTTAGAATCCATAATGATATCCAATCCAACCATTCCAGCTTACAAATATGATCCTTATGACAAAAAGTTCACATCAGAAGCTTATGAGCATCAGTTAATGCAAGCTAACAGAATGAACCAGATAAAAACAGCAGAGAGTGCCAACAGTTTTGGACTCATTCTGGGAACATTAGGAAGACAAGGTAGTCCAAAAGTATTAGCAAATTTAGAGAAACAAATTAGCAATTCTGATAAGAAATCTGTAAAAATTCTGTTATCAGAAATCTTTCCTAGTAAACTTTCTTTATTTGATATAGATGCTTTTGTACAAGTGGCTTGTCCGAGACTCTCTATAGACTGGGGTACTGCCTTCCCCAGACCCTTATTAACCCCCTATGAGTTCTCTGTTGCTTTAGGGAACACAAAATGGCTAATGGAAGATGGAACCTATCCTATGGACTTCTATTCAAATGATAGCCTAGGACCTTGGACACCAAACTATAAACCAGTATTTTGTTCAGGCACAGATAAGAAATGTGATAATTGCTGTAATGGAAGAAAAGATAAATAAAATAAAAATATTTAGTATAGAAAATTTATATTTACTTACTGGAATATTTGATGGTATAACAGCAGCAGTTTCACGAGCTTGCGTAAACACTTGAGAATCCAAGAACTTGGAGGGGAAGGTCTCGGCAAAATTAGGAATCTGTATGTCTCTAGTGTCTCTCCTAAAAAATTTTTTATTTATTTATTTATTCACACGTACAATTTCACATGAACAAATGTAACACACATTAGTACAAGGGCACTGCTTATTTTAAATTGAAATTTCTATCAGCAGGCCCAAATCAGGAAAAAAAAATGTTAATTGTTAGTGATGCACATTAAGAATATTTTACAGTATAGCATTTTGATTGCCAAATTGATCAAATATAATAATGTACTTTATATAATGAAGAACTGTTAAGTTATTAAATGAGCATATCTAACCTGTGCATTAAGGCCACAGAATAACAGTAGTTAAACAGTTGAGGATTGAGGTTGGATCTTGCAAAAACACAAGTAGACAGCAATTGTTGCAACTCGTTAGTGGGAACACCTATAAGAATATCTTGTTAACTTTCAATGGAAATATTATATATTTTATTATGTATTTATTTTCCTTCTAATCTTAATAGGATAATTGATAATTTTTAATTTTGTACCTGTAATTTTGAATATATTGAAATTAAAAGTTACTCTTTCCTTGTTCATTTGTAGCAATACCTTGGTGTCTTATTAAAATAATGGATTTTAATAATGATAATAATAATGGATAAACCTTCTTCTAATTTAAAGTTAATTTTGACATTTGATTCCTCCTTCTTTAATTGGTCATACATACAGTGAATCTAGGTGAAGTTAGATTCATTATAGTAATACGTGAAGCTAAGTGGTAGCTCTAACATTAAAAGTATTAAGAGTTATAAATAAACTGTAGTTAAAATAAGATCATATATGTAAGGGTTTGTTCAGTAAAGATTCATCGTTTTTTCACTAATGGCTGCAGCCATCCTCCAAAATCATAATAATATAATAAAGTGAAAATGTATGTATGGGGTAGTGAGGTTAGTCCGCCACTGCCCTCTTAATCCTTTTAATTCAATTCATGTTAATACTTCGTGTAAATTAATGATCTTCGCGGTCTAGTCTTAATATGATCGCAATCGGTTACACGATCGGTATCACAGGTCCCTGAGGTAAACAGATTCATATAAACGAATTTTCTATAAATTCTGGACTATATTCTAATTTTTCGGCTTAAGCGAATGTCAAACGCTCTGTGCCTACGCACAAAGATCGCACGTATGTGGTTTCGAACGGACTTTTTCAAGGTGTCGTCAAGGAGTTAATGTAGAAATGGAATTTTCAATAACGCCTTTGATTTGGGTGTTATAGTAACTTTGTTGTCTCAGATACTACATAATACCGGAGCTTTAGCTACTCCTCTTGAATCTGATCATTGTTGAGCAATGTACATATCTGATGTGGTCTTTATTTTTTATTTTATTTAAGGGGCTGTCCATTAATCACGTGAGGCTCGAAAGGGGGGGGAGGGGTCCATAAAAAAGTCACGAAATATCACAAGGGGGGAGGGGGGGTGAAGTAACATATCACGTGTATTTATTTTTTCGACAAACGCGCGATACTCAACCGAAAAGCGGCGTAAATAAGTGTAATAAAATAATTTTTTCGTCAAACGTTCATTAAATAATAATATTCATAAAGTTTTTCGCATTCCTTTCATTATTTTTGTCAATCAAAAACAACCTGCAAGTCCTGTAATCTTTCTGTCTACCTCTTGACATTATTGTACTCTTTAATTGTCTATAATACAATTAGAAAATTAAGATTCATTGTAAGTACTAAAAATACACGTGATATATGGGGAGGGGGGGGGGTGTAGTCTTAAACCTGCCTAAAAAAACATCACGTGATTAATGGACGGCCCCTTATATAATAGTGAAAGGCTAACTTACTCATTAGAACGTCAATTACTTCAGCGGCCATCTTCTGGTGGCGCGGCAGAAATAAAGAGAAATCTGCGTCAGTCGGTAGTTGCGAAGCTATCGGAAACTGTGGCACACTGCTTAAATTCTGAAGCGGGATTCTTTCGTTGGCATCTTCACCGAATCGGTTGTTCAACGAAATTCCATTGGTCTCGTATTCTTTTGGCTGTGCAAACAATTAACTAATATCAATATATGTAAGCTAAACATTTTTTCCTAATGCATTGGAGTAATCACGATTGCTAGAAAATTTTGTAAATAACATTCAACAGCAGTGCGTTTCTTCTACTAAGGTATCCAATTATAAGTTTTTTCTTATATATAATTGTTTATTGTTGACATAGTCTGATTTGGGAATAACTCATTTTCACAATATCACCATTGTCGCAATGGTTGTGCACAAGAAAAAAATAAGTAATGAAATAAAAACAGAGAACTCACCAGTAGTTGATCTGTAAGTTGGAAAATGGCATTTTCTTCGCCTTTTGGAGTGATCATCGGTTCGTTTGGCCGATCAAACAGCAACTGGAAGCTCTTTTTTATGTCCGCCATTATGATAATTTATATTGAAAACAATATAAAAAAAATTCAAACAAAACTCACTCACTTCACAGAAACTGTGAAGTGGGATTGTGCTTGATGTTTTTCACTACCTCTTTTTATACTAGTTTGTGCATTTGATGTAAAATTTTGCCGGGTGCAAAAACCACAACACTAGTGAGAACAAAAAAATATATCAAACTTAATGGATAATGTTTTGCGGTGGTGGAATACATTATAACAATTAAATGTCCTTTAAAAACAAATGATAACGTATAAAAAAGATAAAAACAGTGGTTTGGCGGAAGAAACGGAAGGAACCACAGAATACAGAATGTGTTCTGTGTAATAAACTATACAATATTTATTTGCAGGAGTGCGATGGCGCAGTGGTTAGCGCGTTTGGTCAAGTAAGGCGCCAGGCAGGGCCAGTTATAGGATGGGTGGCAAATAATTTATTATCTCTAGCTCCTCCGTGTTACAGAAGGCACGTTTAGACGTTGGTATCGTCAATAGCCACTATCTGCGGTGGGCCCGTATGTTGATTGTGGACCGTTCTACCATATATGATTCTATCCGTCACACCATCATAGAGTCGGCCCTGGCCTATGATTATGACCTGATTATGAGTGTAACAAATTGATTTTTAGTCATATTAAGTATCTACCAGTAGTTTTACCGCGACTTCCCCCGCGCAAAGTAAAGACTATGTTTACCCGCGTATAATGTAGCTTTCCGTAGCAAGCCGATTTTAAAAATCTTACTTACGCTCTGTAGGTAAGATTTTTAAAATCGGTCCTGTAAATTCGGAGTCTAATTGATGCAAACAAACAGTTAAATCTTTCCTCTTTATATGATTAGCATAGAGAGGTATAGAATAGAATAGGAGTATGTAATTGCTGTTTCGTACATACTGAGCACGTGAAACATTTTTTGTTGGATAAAAAATTATAATCAAAAGATACTGCGTTGTCTATAGGTACTATACCTACAGCTTACCTAACCTTTTACCTTTATCTTTTTAAGTACCTAGGTTTTAGAATTTCTATGCTGTGACAACGCTGTGCTCGTTGTCGAGTTCAATGCTGCTTTTATGACAGAATATGTTGCTGAAGAGCATGGAGTGTGCCAAAGTTGAAGAGACGGGACGATCGGAGGGGCCAGTCCAAAGTGTAAAAGTACCTATATTGTATTAGGACCAGTGAATTTCGTTCTGGAATTTGGAGTTTTTTGATATTTACGTTCACCTTCGATCGAGATCGTGTTAAGATTTTAGTATTTTTAACCGACTTCAGAATCGAAAAGAAGGAGGTATATGTTCGATTTATGAATTTCCACCAATTGTTGACCGATATTCAATGGGCCTGAAATGTTCCCATATACCTATTTTTTCGAAATCGAATTAGTAGTTTTATTTTTATATCAAAACAAAATATGCTTTTTACTAAATTATTTAGACGTCATGTTTAAGACGACAGCAAGCAGGTTTTTCTATATATGTATATTTATTTGTAACCAGTTGTGTTAAACGATTTCTTCGTGAAATGTGCACCAATTTCTATCTAAGTAGCTGTTTGCCTGCGTCTTCGCCTGCGTAAATTGTAGCATAGCATTGCAGTATGATGTATTTTTTGTAGGAAATCAATAGTTTCATAGCTTTTTCAATGCTAACAATTGAACCTTTTTACTTTATATTAGTTTATATATTTATTTGATAAACGATATGTAGCGAATAAACAGACTTCTACTATGTTGACATATTTATTATATAAGTATTATTTTTTTTAGTGTTACCTATATTCAAAAATATAAACAGTGTCAGATGTGTAGAGCTAACATTAAACTTTAGAAATGTGAGAAATATTACTTAAAATCCAAATTACGAATTTATTGGAGGATAATATAGCGTGGTGATTTATATCCGTTACGTCACTCTTAAATTAGGTAGGTACTTTCAACAAGTAAAGATCTGCTTTTTAGTCATTCATATCAAAATTTAAAAGGGTGCTTGCTACAAATATGTACATCCACTTTAAAACATTACTATGAATGAAAAAGCAGTCTGAGCTGAGATAAGTTCTTCATTATGTCAATATAAAATTGCTAAGTATAGTCACTTAAATATAAATTTAATTAAACTCAAATGAATTATTACAATTTTACATTGACATGTTTGAAGAAATTATATTTTAGGTCAGTAATAAATAAACAATCTACTTTAAAAGTTACCATTTTATATTGCCTACTACTATTCAATATCAATAAAATCTACAAAACTATTTAAAATCACAGGTTATTTGTTTTACTATCTAGGTACTTATTGAGAAATTTAATAACATTTTTCTCTTTTATCATCTTGTACACACAACCTCAAAATTGTCTATTTCTCTGATAGGAATTGACAAACAATTTCTAAGAACTTTTCTGGTTTTTGACTATGAACCCAATGTCCAGCTCCTTCTACAAACACTAGTTCTGCTAAGGGAAAGTATTCTTGAATTTCTTTTAAATCGTTTTTCCTGCAATAACATTAATTAGAAATGATTACATAATACTATGGAAATTCTTATTACTAACAGATATTTATTTGAATAGGATGAGTTACCCTATATAATCTGATAGAGTTCCACCAATAAACATGGTGGGTCCACAATATTGAAGGCCTCTTAAATTTGATGGAAAACAAGATATGTGGGATTGAAAATTTTCTTTTAAAGCTGGCAGATTCACTCTCCATGTATATGCACCAGTATTAGTTTGTACTAAATTAGTAATTAAGAAGTTTCTTAAGTTCACATCAGGGGTGATGCTTTTCAGTTGTTCATCAGCTAGTTTTCGTGCTTTAGACATTGCTATACCAGGTCTAATCATCACCGATGACATTGCATCAAATAAGTTAGCCATAGTGAAAATCTGTGGACTTGTTTTAACAGGTGAGATATCCACTATGATGAGACTTGATACTAAGTCAGACTGCAAAACAATAACAAAATTTATCACAATATTGGTAATAAATTCAATTTTGTTTTAACAAAGCAACAATAACATTTTTAACAAAGAAAAATCCCAAGGGGAACTGAATTTAAAACTAATAATATATTCAACACTAGAAATACCTACTTAAAACTTACACAAAGCAGAGACAGCACCATAGCAGTACGGCCGCCCATACTATGTCCAAGGAGGGCCACTTTAGATAATTCCAACTTTTTTAAAAGTTTCATAACATCGTGAGCCATGTGAACATATGTATGTTGGGATGAATGTCTGCTATCTCCGTGATTACGAGCATCCACACTAATGACCTTCCTTCCAGTTGTGCGGTGTATGGCTTTGCTCATACTATTCCAGTTATTTTTAGACCCCAATAATCCATGTAAAATAACTAAAGGAGGAAGATTAGTCTCTTCGGGATCAGCAGTACTTTCATATGAAGCGTACGCCAAATCTACAGTGTCTGATGAACTCTCATAATTCGTACTCAAATACCTTGGTGATATTTTAAAACGTACTTTAAATGGATTGAATAGATTTCTTAGAACTATTTTTGTTAATAACATAATTTGTAAATAAATATATTTAATTTTTTACGAGGAATTTGGTAGGTAATTTTCTGACGTTTATTATTATTTTTGTCTAATAAATAAATAAAGGCAAAAGAATCTACTCTAGAAACACACTTGGTGTTTAAGGACTAAATTACTATGGGCCATACAGCCAAGTCCATATTACTGTTTGACTGGTAGAGAATCCCACTGGCATTAAGTTCGCCACTTTTCTTTTTCTTTAATAGGTAGTAATGTGTCAATGTGCTACCGCATCACTCCACTGTTTGTAATATTTTAAAACAAAATACTGAATAGCTATTTACCATTTGTTAATCACCCAGTGTTTTGTTTGTGTATGGCTATTATATTATAGTAAGAGACCGGAAATTTGTACTGTACATTTATTTATTTTTTTAAAACAGAAGAGAAAAAATTTGCATTATAAATGAATTGTTGAACTTATTCATTTTCTTTTTAAAGTTATATGACATGCTTCAAATCTTTCCTATGTTGATAGTTATGGATACGTTATTTTTTATTAGACACGGATATTTAACACGTTACACGACGCAAAAATGTGTTTCCACCTTAAGACCGTCACTGGTGATGCTTATGCTCGTTGGCAGGGTGACCGTTTCAAAAATATGCGATTATATTTTTGCGCACTTAGAGTAGGCACAGTATTACACCAAACAGTAGAAAATAATAGAAATCTGTATGAGGTCACGTTGACAATGGCGCATTTGTATGGAGACTGTTTTTACTAGGAAAAATAATTTTAGTTATAAATTTTAGTTCCCATTTATTCCGTTTACTACTCTTTTTTGTCAAACTGTACATACAAGAATAAATAAAATACTAAGATACGGCTTTTTATATAAGTATTTAAAAAAAATCATTAGTTCCCGAAATCAAACTAGATGTCACTATTACTTTTTTAATTTCTCCACGACAACCCTTCCGGTTTTCTTTCATGTATAAAAGTAAATTAGTTTTCAAAACTAAATAATTCATATTTTATTTGTACTTTTACGTATTTGTATTGATATGTAAGTCTCAAACTTTGCGAATTTCAGTTTTTTTATATGTAAGTTAAAAGGAACGGAAATTACTGTTTTTGATCCAATCGTTTCCTGAAAAATCAACTTTTGCTAAAGTCGTCATCTAGTGGAGGTTTTTTTTAGTGCTTTCTTTTTTTCTTAAATTTTTCTACATATTTAATCACTTCTCTCTCTGTTCTTGTGTCTGACCATTTTTATCGTACAGTAGGTATATTCGTATTAGTGTTCTTCTTTTGATTTTGATATTTTTTTTTAAATGTTATTTGTCTAGTTTTATGCGTAATCTATTATTTTTTGTTATGTTTTCCATCCAATGCTAGGTTGCTTGAAAGAAATCGCTGGCTAATATATTATGTTTGAGAAATATATATAGGGTATTATGTATGAGAAATATATAGGGTATTATGTATGAGAAATATATAGGGTATGTTCGTGTAATTTTCTCGTTATACAATAAAAACTTTACTAATTTACTTAACCGCATCGTAAACCGAATGCTAACCTCTAATCTTAAAAAGAGGAAAAATTTAATTATTTTTTTTTGCGTCATACTCGGGTGACACAGGGTATAATTTGCGCGGCTAGTTAACAGTTAATTAAATAGGTACGCTTGTGGGGTCGAGGGAGGTTGCGGGCAGCACCGATTGGCGACAATCGAAACTACTTTCTCGTTATCTATACTGCAAAGTACGAGCTCTTTAAGAGCTTGACCGCATTTCTATATCAAAGGAAGTTTCAGACTCAAACAATACTGCATAAGTATGACGATTAGCAGATATGTAGACGCGCTAAGTTATCCTCAGGAGTTTTCTGCGATCAAATGCTTGCTATATGAGTTCTCTGAGAGCTCAAGATATTTTTCCTAACAATGAATGCTCCGGATTCAACTTGATAGTGTATGAGCGTCGCGATGGGCATTTAAATAAGCTACGCACCCGTCTAGTATCTCCTGTGACCGAGCGCTTCTTGTCTGAGCTCTCTGAGAGCTCAAGCGATTTTGTTTGTCGATGAAAGTCTAAGGGTCGACAGACATGCCGCCACGCTTATACACTTCCGTGAGGTACTTGACTGAGCTCCATCAAGTTTGCACCGACCCTCAGACTCATATAATATAGCATGAGCCTTATGACCGATGAATAAACCTGTATCTCTATTGAATACTGCAAATACCAACATTAAAGTAAATCGATTTTAATGTAAAAAAGAAAACAAAAAAGTAACACAAGACTATTAAAAGGAAAAAAAATATATAACTTGAGATGTCTTCACTCATTCAAAAGTCAAAGTCAAAATAATATTTATTCAAATAGACTTCTTAAAAGTACTTTTGAATCGTCCAACATTTTGTTTCCCTACCACTCGTACGTAGAATCAAATGTTTCTGTAGGGCGTAACCTGGCCTAAAAATTTCCTACGTCTCGCTTCAGGATCTTTTAAGAATTTCATCCTTTTAGCAGTTTTGCAGGTTTGATCTTTTTTCAAGGTATTTATGTAGGTACCTTTTTGGCGAAAGTATCTGTTGAGTCGTGAACTTAACTTTTTTAACGTCGAGGAAATGCTGCTGGTTCTGTTCCTGTTACCCGGCAAGCAACAGGAGGTGAGTAGGACTCTACTACTTGAACCCAACCAGCCGCAGATGAGTCACCAGGACACTAAAGTATTGGACCATTGGTCCCACCGCAGATGGAGAGGCTCCGGTCCATCGAGAGCCTCTCCCAGACAGGTGAGGCCCTGCAATGCAGAGGTGGCTGCCAACCACCGCAGCTAGGCTCGAAGACGAAACCTAACCTGATAAGAATTTACTATCGAAAACCTTATACTACGTGCGTTCACTGTAAACTACTCGATGTTTAATTACAGCAGCGCAACACTCTTTTCGCTCGATCTCCTCCTTGCGTGATCGTATACTACATGTCTATTATAAGCTTCAGCTTATAATACCTATATGTGATCAATCACATATGATTAGTTATATATAATTATATTGCAGTATCCAAAATATTGATAGCTTATTTTTTTTATTCATAAAAATCATAATTTTACAGACAATATCAATATGTAGCTCGGTAGGGTAACGGATAAACGCCGCTACCGGCAAGTGTTGTTTTTAAGCAATTTTCGTGTGGGCTGTTCACGGAATGTGACCAAAAAAATTATTAAATTAAAGTCTGAGCCTCACTGCATAGGGATATAAAAGAGCTGACGATGATAAAGAATAAATCAGAAACTAAAATTTAATAAAGTATTAATTTCATAGCAATTTTGGCGAACACAGTACTTCAAATTGATATTACTTTTTTATTTATGAACCGATTGAAATAAAACTTACAACAAACAACTTACAAATATTAACAAAAGGTTGCCACAATGAAATAGTGAAAACATCATTAAAATCGATTCAAACAGACAAAAAATTTAAAAATCGTTCTGTTCTGTTGCGTTTATAAATGCCTCTCATAACAGTTTTTTTCATTTATTTTCAATGTACAGACATCGATTGGTTACGTTTTTATTACATATAGTATAGATTTTAGCTGGGTAAGGAATATATTTATCAGACATCACAAATAAAAGTTGTCATTGATTCAATAATTTATTAATTAGAGAAAAAGTCTTTTACCAATTGAAAAAATGTTGAAGGATCTTCTGCGTGAACATTATGGCCGACCCTTGGCACATATTTGAGTTCAGAATTAGGGAAAAATGATCTTATTCCGTCCAAGTCACTCGGTCTTAAAAATTAACAAGGTGGATTTGTAATAACATTTATTTTAAATGCTTTGGTTGTTTAGATAAAGTAATATTCAATAATTTAATAGGCAATATTAAATAAAAAATATTAAATGCGATTTTTTAAATCTGACTTGTTTGCGATTTTACTTAGGCATCATCCCTATACCTCTAGTCAATAAACTAAAACGTCATTACACAAATAAGGGACTTTAAAATAATTTTTAGTTTAAAAGGTAAATACTTCGCTTAAAAAATAAATCTTACCGAACCGCTCGCATTATAAAGATTAAAAATAAATACCAAATTCAATTCAATTGGAGAAGTATAGTTTCGGCCAAATTAGCGGTGACAGTCGGATTTGCAGACTACTGAGTAATCCTAAGTTTTCGCTACTTCCTGATAAGGAGCGGAACTCTAAAAATACCAGTCGAACTTAGAACCCCTTTTTCATTTTGTAGTAAAGTTTATAGTATGAGATAGTACGAGTAGGTTCAGATTTTTAAAAGACAAATGGGATGGACAGATTTTATAATGAGAGTAATTTTTTAGCGTATGTATGAACAGTCCTATAAATTAATTACTTAAAAGCTTACGGTATGTAGTTAGATAATTCTCCCCCAACAAATAATGTTTTTCCATAGAACTTTTTATTTTGCATTTCTTGCGGAAACGATGCAATCAATTTGAATGAATTTTTCAATGTATCGAGATTGTATACCCATCCAAACGTTTTATCATGTCTCGTGGCAATATTCATCAGTATGAAATGTAGTCCATCTGGATTATTTACCACACCAGAAGCGATAATTTTATCTCTGGCTCGAGCTCTAGCCTCGCTTAAGTTGTTTACACCATCGAAGTTAACTGACTTCATTGCATCCATAAGTTGAGGAAAAAAGTTGTTAAGTATTCCAGCGGTAGAAACAGGCGATATGTCCACAACGACTAAACGATCAATTAAGTCTGGCTGAAGAATAAGAAAATAGTTTTAAAAAAGTTAATCATCTTATATTTGTTTTAGGCATCTAAATTTTTATTCTTAAAGGTGCTTAAAAAGATATGCCAGTGTTTTTGCAGTCAGCCATCAGCGATGACTTACAAGAAAATTTATGTAACATTATCTGACAACCCCTGGAACTGGGGTATACGTAGCTCTTCCAGCTTCATTATCATCATATTGTTATATCTTCATGTCTTCATAATGGGTAGGATCATATA